GGATCGAACCCACGTAGTCCACACAAAGACAATCTCAAAAGAACCAAAGAGGGATTTGTTAGATCCTCTTTGGCTCCAAGATTAAGAAGAAAGCAAATCAATTGAATTGATTTTAGAGCCTTAAGTGTTTCTGCCATGGGAGTGTATTGTCAAAGAGGGGCTGCTGTGCTTTTTCAAAGAAAAATCTGTCACATTTAATTAACACATTTTTCTTTTTATAGTCAATAATTATGTTGCCCTACTCCCATATGGAATAAGCTTGGGCTCCAACCCAAACACCCCATGTTGCCAAACACTCCCAATTTAATATTTTATTTTTTCTATCATTATCTCAATTAAAATCAATTAATATATATTTAAATATATATTAACATTTAACAATAATGATAATATATTTAAATATGTGCAAACACACATTTAAACGTAATTTCACTTATTTAATTTTTCTAACAAATTAAATAAAGGCTACGACCTCAGCAAATTTAATTGCACTGTGAAATTACCAAAATACCCTTTTGCCTTAAAAGACGAAAACGCCCTTCTTTCTTCTTGGATCTTAAATTATCTTCTATGTGTGTGACCCATAAGCTCCTCATCATATCGACAGTGTACAGTATCGCGATTAACACCAATTAATCGTCTCACTAATACACAGACCAAGATTGGCCCATAGTAAGGCATCATGGCCACCCGATAGATTCGGACTCAGCAAAGTAGCTACCTGTCAACGATATGGTTACCGTGCAATTTGATCCTTTCATCATACGTTATCTCGACGAGACGAAGGCATTGAAATAGTGTCAACCTTTGGTTACTCTCGATATTATTTATTCAATTTCTAGACCAATGACCCGTATTATAAATTCAACTCAATCCCACTATGGCCACAGTTTTAGTATCATTGCCATATACTGAATTGCGTCGTGAGATAACTCTCTCCCATACCCGGGAGTGATGAATCCTCTGTCAATACACCATAGCCTTGATACACTCCTTGATGCAGCCAATCACCACCGTATTGACACCTCTAAAAAGAACTGCATTAGGCTAGTGTCAAACTACACCAATCGGTGCACAAGGCGCTCCGATGATCTCAAGTTTAAGGATCACATGCACCACCATTCGTTAGAGGATTTGTTCCATAGACACTGGGGTTACCATCCATATGGAATCCTCTGGTGGGTCAGTCCAGTGAACTTGCTGCGGTGTAATCGCCTATAGCAAGCACCCATGTGTTACACCAGGTTGTCACCAAACAACCTTGACAAGTGAGATCAGTCACTGCCTTTTGACAGGGTCATTCAACACTATAATAGCCTTACCGTATTATTTGTGCCCTTACTTCAGAAGAAGTACTAGCTACGGAACGTTTTCTAGAATGGCACCATAGTGCTCTAGGGTTCTCACTATCAAGATTTGAAATACTTGATACCCTTGTCACGATTCTACCATTCTAAGGACATATATCAATAAATATTGCAATAATAATGATTTACGCGATATAGAATAAGATGCCTTTTATTACTGATTAATGAACATTATTACAAAGAGTCAATTCTACAATAATTGATTGGATCTAGGGCACCTACTCTAATAGACTGTACCTACTCACATGGCCAGGGTTCCAAATCCATGCATCAACCTAGTCCGATCGGCAAACTAGAATAGAAGAAAGAAAAGAAAGAGATACAACATAAGAGAAACAAAAACAGAAAAGAAAAGAAAGTTCATTCTTAGGAAAGTTTATTATTCTGCATATGTATTATGCTACTTACATGATTCAGTATTTCTTATGTGCTCGACGAGGTACAATTTTATTCATTGTCTTTGCTCGTTGGTAAGTAGCAAATCAAAGTATCAGAAAAGAATGTAGAATATCAGAAAAGAATGAAGAATATTATCAACGAATAAAGTGAGAAAAGGAAAATCAAAACATGAGTAACGGAGGAAACACAGTAGTGTAGTTTGATTTACTTACTTAGTAATTAGTGCTCACTCCGTTATTTTACTGTTTGCAAGTACTAGATGATTTACGACCAGGTGCGACGTCAAGAAGCGGAGGAGTTTGGCGGCACTGTTCAAGATTACCTTATGCTTACTAAAATATATCAATATTTTGTGTATATATTTATATGAATAAAAATTAGAATTTTCGGATTTTACGTTATGTATATATGTTTATAAAAGTTATTTAGTGGATTTTATCTTATATTTTTCAAATAATTACTAGCTATTAGTATATTACAAGTTGCATACCTCTTATAGGGTACATTTGGTTTAAAGAATGTTGTATTTAGACCTGGGCAAGGATCGGTCCCAATCGGGTCCGAATCTGGGCCTGATTGGGACTAGTGCCAACAGGACTAGTCCCATATGGGATTAGTCACTCATGGGCCTGGGACTGGTCCTAGGCCAATGAGAAATTTCAGGGCCCGGACCGGTCCCATGGGCTTGAAAAATTTTGTTCCACCCCCAATTTTTTTTTTTTTTATATTTCATGGGTTAAATAAAATTATGTAGGGGGGTTTATGTAATTTTTAGAGGCTTGGAAAATTTATTTGCAGACCTGGAGATTAGTAAATTTTGTAAAATATCAATTTAACTCTCAATATTTTTGTCAATTTCAAAATTACAGAGAGTTTTTAGACATTTTTCAGATGACTTTTTTGAAAAAATGCAAAGGGGTTTGGGCTCGGGCTCGGGCTCGGGATTGGTCCTAGGCCCAAGCCTTGGAAGAAGGCCCAATATAGGGATCGGTCCCTCCTCAATGGGCTTGGTCTTGGTTTGGGACCAAACCTCGTAGGATCGGTCCTTGTGAGGATCTGTTTTTTGGGACCAGTCCCAAATTCCCAAGTCTAGTTATATTATAAGGAATGTTATATTAATGAGAAGATATAACATCTTAAAGGTTACTATGAATGTTATATTAAACGTATTTGGTTAGATTGAAATAAATTAGTAGATAATGTTCTGAAAATCGGATCGGACAATGACCCGTTCAAGGGTTCGGTTTTCGGTTTGATCGGTTTGATCGATTGGACCGTAATTTATAAAATTACATTTTAATCCCTAAAAATTTGAAATTCATAAAAAACACCCCTATAATACTCCCTTAAGGTTTGAAATCTATCTAAAACACCCCTATCGGGCGAAGATTCTAGTGAGTGGTGGCGGCAACGACGATCGACGGCCAATCGAAGCTGGAATCTTGGGGCTTTTGATGTGTAGGTGTCGGCGACTCTGATGGTGGTGCTAGGGAGTTCCATCGGCGTCGGGACTCGCCGTAATCAACAAAAGAAATCTGACGTCGCGTAAACTTTAGGTAGACGACGATCAACGAAGGCTGGACGACGGCGACTGAAAATAGATGGGTTTGGTCGTGGAGATGCCGTCCGTCAAATATGGGTGTTTTCTCCATCGAAAGATGCCAGAATCCAGTAGGGTTTAGCTGTGATTGGACAGCGATTCGGCAGTATTCCGGCGGTCCAATCCGGTTTAAATCAAAATAGCGGTTTTTTATATATACCGGACCGGATTTGCTGCCGGTTGCCGGTCGAACCGGTCCGACCGAGCGGTCCGGTCCGGTTTTCAGAACATTGTTAGTAGATATATTATATTGATATGTTTGGTTGGGATGAATAATTTTGTGGACATGTTATATAAATTATTTAATTGCCCTTTATTATTATTATTCTATTTAACCCCCTATATTCGAGATTTTTCTAAAACACCGCAGTCATAATAAAAGTTTAAATTGTAACAAAAACACCCTCACCCACCCAAGCCATTGTTGGACACAGGCCATCACTGTTGTTCGTGGCTTGAATAGCGCACAACCGGTTGGATATGGTCGATCATGCACCGATATGGCCAAAACGGCCAGATTGATGGTTGGAAACGGCCAAATGGCCATGGATCTGGCAAAAAACGGCTAAATCCAAATCCATCTAACCAAAGCGGCCAAATCGACACACGACCAACCTAATCTAGTCGATTATGCACTGTTTCGACGACGTTGGCTGACGATGGTGGCTAGATCGAGCAATCTATCATGGGTAATTTGGTTCAAGTTCAAGGGTAATAATATCCTAAAAATCTTATGTATAAGGATAAAATATTTCATGAATATTCTTGTAAATTGTGTTAAGAATAAGGGCAACATCGTCCAAAAATTTAATAATTAGAGGTAAAACTGAACTAAATTAAGATTATCGACTAATCTTGAATACCTAAGAAAATGGTTGTATTCAGATTACCATTTATATAACCAATAATGATTATTATTATTGGAATATTTTATTACTTGATAATGCCAATAATATAAGATGACGTTATTATAGTAATGAAGGATAATCTCCAACCAAACGTACATTTAATGAGAAAGTACCTCCTTATCGCTAGTTAAATTAAGTTACCTCTCATAAATTAAGTTCAACAATGATTACTATTGGTATTAGAGAATTACCGAAATCTTGTTAATATCTAATTATTGCGAGCTGCCTTGACAAAAGTGAGTATCAACAATAATTTATTAAGTTGAAAATGCTAAACCCATAACCTCTTCTTACAAACTTCTTCTCACAATCTCGACGTGACAGCTTATAATTGATCAGTTTACAATGAGGTTCACCTAGGTCCCACTTGATAAATTACGAACTAATTGTAGGTTGCCACATTAGAATTATAAAAGAAAGTTTATAGGAAGAAGTTGTGGGCCTAGCATTAAACTATTAGCTTATCTTACCTCTCATAATGACAAAAATAAATAATAATAATAATAATAATAATAACAATAATAACGAGCTGTCAAAAATCGGGACTATAGTTCATTAATAAAATTTGTGGGGGCTTACAAAATTTCTGAAACCTACAAAACCATTTTTTTCCAACAAAATCACAATAATTTTTTAATATAATTAATATATTAAATATAATTAATATAAATGAATATTACAATTTTGGTGAAATTCATTATCTATATCAAAATTCAAGAACATATGCAATCCGGATGTTAGAAATAAAACTTGTCTTTCTCAATGATATAGGTTACAAGTTTCTATTATTTTTTAATTGAAATATTATTTAATTATTTCATAATTTGTTTGATTTCTTTCTCAAAATAATTTACATTAAGCTTAACTTAGTTCGACTTCGACCAGGCAAATAGTTTCGTACCGTGATATAATTATCGGCAGGAATATATCATCATGTTTTTCTGAGTTGGTCTAAAATCTGATTTTCCACGTAAAATGAAAATACAAAATATAGTATCAATAAACAAAATTCTTTGAATCCTCTTCGCATAAAAAAGCTCCACTTGTTTCTCTCTGCAAATCCGCCACTACTCTCATTGCATGCTAATGATCTGCATCTTCAATGGATCCTCCTCCCTCCGATTCAACTCTCCCTCTCCACTCTGACGATGACCAGCGAGTCTACTTGGTTCCTTACAGGTCTCAATTCAATTCAAATTCATCAACCCTAACAAATCTAAACAAATCCTATTTTATACGCCGTCGTTTTAATTATTTCCATCACATTTCGCACTTGAATTAATGAATACAATGTCTGATTTAGATTGAGATTTGAATTGGTTTCCTTTTTAGGTGGTGGAAAGATGCTCAAGAATCAACATTTGATTCAGATGGGAAGAGAGGGATTTTGTACACAGCAACACCGGGGCCATCCTATGCAGGTCCAATGAAGATCATTAACAACATTTTTAATTCCGACCTTCTTTTCAATCTGAGGAGAGAAGAAGATTCTTCGCAAAATGGCGAAAATGGTGAAGTGGGGGTCTCCGGACGGGACTATGCATTGGTCCCTGGGGAAATGTGGTTGCAGGCACTCAAATGGTGAGTCTCTGATGTTGATAAATAGGGCTTTTTGAATTTTATTGGGATGCGAGGAAAATTAGTAGTATTATTTGGTGAGAATTGAGATCTGTGATATTAATGTGTGTCCAAATTTGTCTGTGTTGCGTGCTATGTTTTTGATGGCATTGATTTTTAATGGTTTGATAAGAGTATATGTTAGATGGTATTTTACTCTATGAATGTACTTTTTAATAATTTAAGTAGCTGGTTAAAGTTCCTGGGGTGCTAGATTCTTTATGCCTTTGACAATGGAGAGACGTGACGCTAAAGATTTTGTGGTTTTTATACTGTAATTAATGCTAAATTTCAATGGAATGCCAATTCTTTGAGCAAAGGACAACTTGTTAATAGATGAATTGCTGACTTAATGTGAGAGAGTTTCCATCTCCTGGAACTCACTTATCTTGATATAAATTTGGCAGTGCATAGATTATCTGATGGCATTTGAAGAGTTTTGACTGTCACCATTGAATTTTCTTCAAAATTTGCTTGATGGAGGCTTACATCCTTTGTGATCTAGGTCCTCCAAAGTCTTTTAGTCTTTAAAATGAGAGGTGCACCTTATAGTCAAACTTCTTTTGATTAGGTTGTCAGGATCTGACTTTCAGAAATTTCTAACTGGCAGTTCCACAGCTACTACACATTTTGGGAATGCTGCCCCTTCTATATCAGCTATTTACCTGTCAGCTTTGGCAGTGCAACTTTTTTGTGACATCAGTACACTGATGAGTGAAAAGTAACATCTTTGAATTGAGCAATATATCTGACCTGTCCATGTTGTATTTTTGTTTGTCTTGTTTCCTTGTTCAGTCTTTCCGAAAGACCCATGCTGTTCTGTAATTAAAAAATATTTTCTCCTTCTGGCTGATCCTAAACATTTTTATCCAGTTAGTGGCAATAGGCATGTAACTTTTAGCCATTCAAGTAAAATGTTGTTTTGGTCTTTAAAGAAGCTCTACTGTGGGATAGTTTATCTTAATTGCGGTCATTTTATGTTAAAGAGGCGGAGGGGTAAGGGTGGAGGGTCTGTTATCGATTATTGTACTTTTATAATCAGTCTGTTGTTCTTTTGATAGATGAAAGTTTATCTGACATGTTATACGGAAGAGTAATGCTAGTCATCCCAATTCCTATTCCAAAATCAGATCCCAATGATGTTTTACCATGTGTGGTATTGCCTTATCATTTAATACATAATTACTTTATTTACGTCATACCTATAGGTAACACACCATTTGGGATGTAAATTTTGGGATTTGTTTTGGTATGAGTAGTATTATTCTATATGGAATGCTAAATTTAAGAGTTTTGTGTTAGTGATGAATCAATTTAATAAATCTTTCTTATGTGTTTTCCTGATTACCAGAATCAATTATGGAAGTTTCTATAATCTATTTATTGGTTTTATCTTACTATTTTACTCAGGCATAGTGATGCTAAAGTTGCAACAAATAATGGAAAAAGCTTTTTTGGCTGCACAAGATGATATGGCAGATGTCTATCCTTTGCAACTTAGGCTTTCTGTTCTGCGGGAACAATTTATTGGAGTAAAAATTACCAAAAAGTTTAGTTTAGTCGATTAATTCACTCTCTCTTTTTTTGATCTTTTGAAGTAAGAACCTTATAAGCTATGAATTTTGTTTTTTATGTCAGATTAATGTGATTAGAAAGTTTGTTTGTACTCATGTTGGAATTTGAACGTTGTCATACTTCTTTTTCCCTTGATGAAAGAAATATTCAGAACATCATGAATGGTATAACAAGTAGGGTAAGATTCTAAGCAGGCATTTAATTTCAAATACTGCTCGAAGTAAAATGCTCCTTTGATGAAATTTTCTAATAGGACCTTTCAATGAACTTAAAAATTATTTTCTAAAAGATTCTCATTCTTTATCTTGCATCACTCTCTATTGCATACGAATAAACTTTTTGCTCTTCTAAAGTACAGTAAGTTGTAACATAACTGAGGTATTGAGATAATTACTCTTCCTAAATTTGTTTAGTAATGTTGCAAGCTAAGTAAAGGCATTAAAAAATTTTACTTTTTTTTTCTTTTTGAATGTTTGGTTTGCAATTATGAGTATGAACAAGATAAAATTACATTGTAATTCCGAGCTAAGATAATTTCGTAATATTTCTTATGATCTCTACCTTGGTAAAATTGTAGGTATGATTAGGACAATGACCATCATTTTTCTCTCGTCTCACTGATCTTTGCAATGGTTGCTTGAGCATTTTCAAGGAGTCCTTTTAAGTCTATATTGGAAGTTCAAGGATAGAATAAAGTGGCTGAGGTTTTCTAGTCCAACCGTTCAATTTAATCTTATAGTATTCTGATTATGTATATATAATTGATGGCAAAATAATATTTAGGATGTCGAAAACTACTTAAATAAAACTCCAAGGACTGTAGTCTTGTGTACACATATTACTCTTCTCTTTCTCTCTTTCCATTTTAATTGGAATTTTCTAGTTAAAGGTTAGGTTAGACTTGTTTATTATTGAGATAGTTTCCAGCCTTTAGATATTTCTTCTAATGTCTGTTCTACACCTCACCCACTGCTAGGTCCTCTTGGCCAGCTGATGGTTTTTTTTTGATGATCACCTAGTTGCTTTCATCATTTTTGTCACTTTTTGTCTTTTGGAAGAATTATGTACAACTCAGATACTTCGCTTACTAATGATGCACTTTAACATTTTCCATCTCTTAATTTAGGATTTAGTTATAGTTACTCTCTAGATCAAGTTCTTTACAATCGGGGAAAATGATGTTAGACATCATGGTATATGCACATATGTCAAGGTGCATGGCTAGTTAGTGTCTTTTTATTTTTTTATCTCGTGGATTGGGTATATATGCACTGTAAAAGTTTTCTTAGCACAACCCTGTTTTAAATTTTAGAAATTAGGTTTTATGCATTCATATTCAAATTTCAAAAAAAAAAAGAAACGTGATGTAGCTAATACTGATATAATAGATTAATATTTAATAAAAAGTACAACGAAAATAGTTGTTGGAAAAAAAGGTCATTTTGGATGTTAGTTTTAAATGTCAGATAAACTAGAAAATTTACTTTATTTTGAATTGTATTTAAATTAAATCAATATTTATACTGATCTGTGTTAGGCATATTGGACTATCTTTTGGATTATGAAGTTGATTGATTATAAATAATTATTAAATTTTAATAATAGAGTGGGTCTAGGAAGGGGGTTGAATGCATAGTTAGGGTGTTCAGAGCCCATCTTGTGTCATATTATGGTTTCCTTGTCAAATGTAGTTTTAAACGTTAACTTTTTTTTTCTCAAGGGTTTGTTAATAAGGTTTGACCTTTATGTTAACTGGGTTTTTTTGTTTGAACTCAAAGACTTTGCTTATGAATGAAAATTGAATATTTTAGTCAACTTCTCTCAATTATTCTTTAATATTTTCTCCCCTTGCTTCATTGCCTCTCTTTTCTTTTTAGTTTTGTTCTTTTTTGTAAGGGTTTCAATTATATTCTAATTCCACATCTTTGAGATAATAGCATAAGAGTTTTTGGTTGATGGTACCACTAACTCTTTGTAGTTGTCAGTTAGGATCTTTCACTATCCTTAGATGTTTAAATGTATGGAAAATAAAGATTCATCATTTCGCCTGCATAAAGATAGAGAACATTGAAGATTAATTTTGATGTTTTTTGTGTACAATATCAAGATGTTGTGTAAATTTTATATTCTATGCGTTAGATCATGTATATTTGGAATAATAAAAACTCTTACATATGGTGTTGGAAATATAATCTAATTTATGGAATCCAATAATATGAAAATTCAACATAACATCTTGATATTGTAAACACAGACTATAAATTAATTTTTCAAACTTCCTGTCTTTTACGTATGTAGAATGATGGATCCTTAACTTTCCATATACTTAAAAAGCATAAGGGTTGGGACTCATCCAAATGGACAGTGATACCTGAGTTATTACAGATGGAGGATGGGGGGGATTAGGAGCATTAATAATGTGAGAGTTGGGATTATCCTAATTGATAATTGATAATTGAGTTAGTGTGGGAGAGCACTAGGGGAGTATGAGTAATCGTTTCATATTACACAAATTTTTACAACTATTGAAACCTTAGATTAAAGTGTAATGATCGTTTTAGATTGAATGACATGAACTACCATTATTTGTTCACATAGGATAATATTATTAATTTTCATCTATTACTCTCTTCTCTCAAACTCTTGAAGAGTATATATATTTTGGGGTGTTCATAAATGGTTAACCGAACCGATTTTCTGAACTGATCCGGTTTTCCAGTTCAGGAATTTTCCTGAACTGAAACCGAACCGGTTAAGGGAAAACTGGTTTTTCGGTTAATCAGGAACCGTTAACCCTTTTGAACCGGTTTTCCCTTTAACTTATTTTTTATTTTGATTTTTCCCTAATTTAAACTGGTTTTATAGTTTATTATTTTTATATTAAATCGGTAACCAAACCGGAAAACTGGTTTTTGTATTTCTTTGAAACCGAACTGGTTTTTTGGTTATCCGAAAAACCGGTTTCGGTTCGGTCGTTTTCTGCATTTTTTTGAACACCCCTAATATATTTCACTTTTTCAAGTGTATTGCAACTTTTATAGACTATTTTATCAATACACTGAGCAGTTTAGATTATTACATCTTAAGTATTGTACTTTGCGATAATGGATTTAAATTATAATCCTTAATTTAAAGTGTATTTATTTAATGTCTCACAAGTTCTGTTATAATTTGAGTATACATATATGCTAATGTCAATAGCCCTTTATTTTAGACAAATTCTTACTTCTAAGTACTTTGGATGATTGAGATTGCATCTACCATTTGTCATTACATGTATATTAATCATGCATGCGTTTGATTCAACACTTAAGGTGATTTGGAGAGCCAAAGTTCCTAGCAAAGTAAGGGAGCTAGTTTTGACTGCTGTGCTAAAAAATATCAAACACTTATGATTTGATTCAAAAAAGTAGACCTTATATTTCTTTATCTCCGAGCTGGTGCTTCTTGTGCAATAAAGTCAGAGAGTGTAGACCACTTATTTTTGCACTGCCCCTCTGCCAGATATTTGTGGAACAAACTGCTGAAGGACTTTAATATAATTTGGGCAATTCCCTCTTCTTGTTCTTTGGTTTGTTGGAGAGACATGTTCTTTGGGAGGCAGAAGAAAAGCTATTGTGTTCGGGAATTGGCAGTTAGGACAATTTTTTGGGTTATATGGTTAGCAAGAAATAGGGAACTTTTTGAGGATACAAGTGGAGATGAGGTTTGGTCCATGTGGATAAAGTAAAATTTTGCGCTTCTATTTGGGCCTCTATTATTTCATAATTCCAAGATGTTTTTTTTTTCTTTATTCAATATAATTGGGAAGCTTTAATTACCTAGCTGGGGAAGATTTTTGTGCAAATTTGCTTAGGGTTTTGGTTTTTAGTGTTGACGATTTTGGAATTGGAGATGTGCTTTTCATTTGTGTTAGTGTTTTGAACCTTTGGGTTTTAGAGACAGCATGTCTTTTTTGTGTGGACAATTTGTCTGTTCTTGTATACTTTTTATTTTAATAGAGAATATCTGTTTCCTTTAAAAAAATAAAAGAAAAGGAAAAACTATAAAATTATGCATGCATATAATTTTAATCATCCAAAGCATTTTGCTCTTGTGCTCTTTAAGTTGTGAAGAATTTGTGTAACAGATTAGTGCCATCGATTCTTCTCACATATGCATAACAAAAAGAAATTTTAGAGCCTATTTCCTTAAAGTTGTGAATTTTACCCAATTGATACTAGATTAGATTTTACATAGGAAATGGAGAAGTATACTTGATTGGTTTGTGTTGTGGATATTGGTGTTGTAGATATCTGTGTATCTTTTTCAATCTTAATGCTTTGACCAGCTCCGTTTGCATACCTAAACAGATATAGAGAATAGTAAGTGCATCTTATCTAAAGATATGTCTTGAATCAGCTGTTCTCTTGTACATTCACTGCCCTCAGTTGATGAAAAATTATTATCTCTGGTGTGAGTCGACTCTAAATGAATGTTAATTTGTAATGAATTAACTATAAACCATTTTGTATGTCTTAGAAGATAAAGACATTGTAATAATCTTATGGTGATATTACTATTTTCCAAATTTCTCTTTCTAATTTGGATGGCTTATGCCTTCTCAAATTTTCATTAAAGTAATCTATATGCTTTTTATGCTTCTGTTTATTGGGTCATTTTGCTTGTTAAGGAACATTTCCGGTTTTCATCACTTAACATGATATCCTTTTCATGTAGGACAATGCGGTTGAGCTCTTCAGAAGATCATGCAAGATCTTCAGTATCGAGTCTGAGCTGGTAATTTATTTAGTTATTTATTTATTTTGAAGTGATGACTTCGTGAGCTGAAATGTATGGCTTTTTAACTTCTGCTATCACACAGTTACGCATCTGGGACTTTTCTGGACAGACAATCTTGTATTTTATGAATGACAAAAATAAGTTTCTGAAAGATGGTCAGCGGCAGTCAGATCAGGAAGTATGTTGTATATTTCTTTGATAAGATGTTAGCTTATAACTTGATTTCATGATTATATTTCATTGTTTACATCTCTCATAAGGCTGAAGTTTGAAATTCACCTTTATACTGATTGGTTGAGGTACAACTGCAAGCCAATTTCTTAAAACATTAAATTTAAAGTCCCCAAGTAGATCTACTGTTTACACTTAATTATATTCATCTGTGCTATTAGCATCTGTATTGCACTTTATTCATAGAGTTCGCATTAACCAATCACAAGGTTAAACCCTGGTTTTGGAGCCTCGATGAGGTGTTGTTGCCATCACTCAGTATGACTCACTAAAACAGATAACTTACCTAAATGGTTGATTTATAGATGAGTCATGATAGATTAACTGAGCAGTGTGGTGTTTCTTAGGAATTTTGCCAACTATTGTTGTGTTGGCAATGCCTATATCTAAATTCTGAAGTTAAAAACTCCAATTTACTTGGAAAGACCTGGCCTCTTCCTACGGTTGATTGGTAGTTGGGACCAAAATAACTACGGCTTTCAAATATTTATGGAATCTAAAGTGCAAAACATGTCAGTCTTGAGTTGTTTCTGGATTTGTATTTGGTTTTGATCCTGTCAAAAGGAATCACTCACATTTTTTATCTTATGAGAAAAAAAAAAAAAAAAAATCACAACTAGAACAATTCACTCATGAAGTTTTTAGAAAAGTTCATGATAGCCAAACCCATTTAACTGGGTTTGAGGTCGAGTTGAACCAAGTAGCATGATAATAATGAGTTCCTCTCTATTTCATATGGAAGTCTGTGGGAGTCACGTTACATATACAGTTCAGAATACTAGGTCAATGCTAACTTTTTGGGTAAAACAACATTCCCTTGATATATTAACAGTAGTCAGAGGGAAAGTAATGAATTATAAATGGGATATTCATTAAAATTTAAAATCAGCTGTCTGCTGAATTATTAACCATCATTTTTATGTGATCTATATGTTACTTTGATGCTTGGTGCTAATAGTTCAGTTACTTCTGCTTTTCTTCAGATTCTCCTGGAGTTGCAAATTTATGGGTTGTCAGATTCCATAAAATGTAGAGAAGGGAAAAAAGATGAAATTGAAGGACAACATTCTAATGGGACAAGTTCGTCTTGCTGTACTTCAATTATGATGAATGGTACCACTGGCAATGTGAATGGCAATTTGGGTCGTAATAACTCTATAACTTTCTCTGGAAAATCTGGTGAAGCTGGGTCTTTGGGATTAACAGGATTGCAAAACCTTGGAAATACTTGCTTTATGAACAGCGCCCTTCAGTGCTTAGCACACACTCCAAAGCTTGTTGATTACTTTCTTGGAGATTATTGCAAAGAAATCAATCATGACAATCCTTTAGGCATGGATGTATGTTAAATCTGTTCTGAATTTTCTTGTAGTTGTGTCTGAATGATAATAACTAAATTTTTCAGTTCAGTTGTGGAAAGATTGTCCTTTTGCTCAGAGCATATTGTTTTTTTTTTTTTTTTCCCAATTAAAAGTATGTATTTTTTGCCAGGGTGAAATTGCTCTAGCCTTTGGAGATTTGTTAAGAAAACTATGGGCTCCTGGAGCATCTCCGGTGGCACCAAGAACATTTAAGTCAAAGCTTGCTCATTTTGCACTTCAATTTAGTGGATTTAACCAGCATGATTCTCAAGTCAGTGAAGTTGCCCATTAGCTATTGAATTTTGGTTTCCCTAACCCCTCACTCTTGGGTGAGGGTTTGCAAAAATCGTAGTATTAATTTTCTGAATTTAATGAATCTTTCATTGTAGGAACTCCTTGCATTTTTGCTGGATGGACTTCATGAAGATCTCAATCGTGTAAAATATAAGCCTTACGTAGAAGCCAAGGATGGAGATGATCGATCAGATGAAGAAGTTGCTGATGAATATTGGCAAAATCATCTGGCTCGGAATGACTCAATCATTGTGGATGTGTGCCAAGTAAGGATCTTTTTTCAGGTGTCCTCATGATTTTGATTTTAAATTGCTCTACATCAGTCATTGATATATACAATGGTTATCATAAACCTTGCGTGATCTTGGGTATATAATTGACCTCTAACTGTGTCTATGGTAATGGAATTAATAATTAAACAGGGGAGATAGAGGGAAACTAATTTCTACACAAATATGTGTTTAATTGGATCAAGATCAAAACTTGTTGATCTAATCTGCAAATGAACTTCTGTAATTTTACATGCAGCGAAAAACCAGTTAGAAACTGACACCTGTCCAACACATGTTCCAGCTTTGACAGAGGTCTTTTTATCCCTTCTCTGTATCCCTCCTATGTCTCAAACCATGTTATCTAGAATGAAGATGTCATTTTTGCTCCAAACCCAAAAGAATGAAAACAAAACAAAATACAAAACTTAATTCTCTGCTAGTATAATATCAGTGTTTGCATTCATGAATGAAATAACTGGTATTTCTATGAAAAATCATGAGGGGAAAGAACAGATAGATCAAAACGAGAAGTATCTTTAATGATTTTTTGTGCTTATGGATAGTTTCTGTGAAATGGATATATTCAATATGCAGAAAAAAGAATATAAAAAGTAAAGAAAAAACAAAAAACAAAATGAAAGTGGATGGATAGATTGCTGGAGAAAACAAAAACCGAAAGGAGGGTTTGATGTCAAGCACTAGGTTTTAATTTGCTTTTTGGAAAATTTGTTGTTTTTTTTTCTTTGTTTGACTGTGATTCAAGAGCACATTATTCTCTTTCCCCATTTGGCTCATAAAATGACTAGCGGACCAAAAACTGAACACCTCTGGTACCAAGTGAACAAGTCCAAGGCTTTTCAAAGGCCACATGTCGTTGCTTGTTGGTTATTCATTATATAAAAGACTATTACATCTTTGCATGTTTTCTAGTTCATGAAAATCCTTTCCAACTCTTTTAGTTAACAAAGGAAAATTTGAAATCTCAACTGGGCAGTTTTGTCTTTTTATACCACCCATACTGTCTGTCTTCAATGAGGGGTAAATGTCTTTCAAGCATGCTGAGCCCGCAAAGTGTTACAGTTAATTTGATTTGGCCATTTTGTTTACCCTATTCTGTCTATTTTTGTAGCTTCTTGAACTTATCTGCTGATTAAGCTAACATGTAACCCTTTTTTGATAACACCCCTAACAGTGTAACTTTAACAAGGCACATAATTTCGGTCTGAAGTTCATTGACTGTCCCAATAAACTTTTGCTCTTCTTAAAGTAAGTAAGTTGTAACATAACTTGAGGTATTGAGAATATTACTCTTCCTAAATTTTGTTAGTAATGTTGCAAGCTAAGGAAAGGCATTAAAAAAATTTTACTTTTCTTTTTCTTTTTGAATGTTTGGTTTGCAATTATGAGTATGAAAAGATAAAATTACATTGTAATTCCGACTAAGATAATTTCGTATATTTTCTTATGATCTCTACCTTGGTAATATGTAGGTATGATTAGACAATACCATCATTTTTCTCTCGTCTCACTGATCTTTGCAAGGTGCTTGGCATTTTCAACGAGTCTTTTAAGTCTATGATTGGAAGTTCAAGGATAGAATAAAGTGGCTGAGGTTTCTAGTCCAACCGTTCAATTTAATCTTATAGATTCTGATTATGTAATTATATAATTGATGGCAAAAATAAATATTTAGGATGTCGAAAACTACTTAATAAAAGACTCCAAGGACTGTAGTCTGTGGTACAAATATTACCTCTTCTCTTTCTCTTCTTTCCATTTTAATTTGATTTTAGTTAAAGGTATGGTTAGACTTGTTTATTATTGAGATGTTTCCAGCCTTAGATATTTCTTCTAGTGTTCTACACCTCACCCACTGCTGGTCCTCTGAGCCAGCTGATGGTGTTTTTTTTGTGATGATCAATAGTGCTTTCATCAATTTGTCACTTTTTGGTCTTTTGGAAGAATTGATGTACAACTCATGATACTTCGCTTCTAATGATGCACTCTTAACATTTTCCTCTCTTAATTAGGATTTTAGTTATAGTTACTCTCTAGATCAAGTTCTTCAATCGGGGAAAATGAGGAGACATCATGGGTATATGCACATATGTCAAGGGCATGGCTAGTTAGGTTTTTTATTTTTTTATCTCGTGGATTGGGTATATATGCACTGTAAAAGTTTTCTTACACCCGTTATTAGAAATTTAGAAATTAGGTTTTTATGCACATTCATATCAAATTTCTAAAAAAAAGAAACGGATGTAGCTATACTGATATAATAGATTATATTAATAAAAAGTACAACGAAAATAGTTGTTGGAAAAAAGGTCATTTTGGATGGTAGTTTTAAATGTCAGATAAACTAGAAAAATTTACTTATTTTGATATTGTATTTTAAATTAAATCAAATATTAAATACTGAGCTTGTGTTAGGCATATTGACTATCTTTTGGATTATGAAGTTGATTGATTATAAATAATTATTAAAATTTTAATAATAGGAGTGGTCTAGGAAAGGGGGTTGAATGCATAGTTAGGGTGTTCAGAGCCCATCTTGTGTCATATTATGGTTTCCTTGTCAAATGTAGTTTTAACGTTTACTTTTTTCTTCAAGGGTTTGTTAAATTAGGTTTGACCTTTATGTTAACTGGGTTTTTTTGTTTGAACTCAAAGACTTTGCTTATGAATGAAAATTGAATATTTTAGTAAACTTTCTCAAATATTCTTTAATATTTTCTCCCCTTGCTTCAATTGCCTCTCTTTTCTTTTTGTTTGTTCTTTTTTGTAAGGGTTCAATTATATTCTAATTCCACATCTTTGAGATAATAGCATAAGAGGTTTGGTTGAGGTACCACTAAATCATTTGTAGTTGTCAGTTAGGATCTTTCACTATCCTTAGATGATTTAAATGTATGGAAATAAAAGATTCATCATTCGCCTGCATAAAAGTAGAGAGAACATTGAAGATTAATTTGTGAGTGTTTTTGGTACAATATCAAGATGTTGTGTATGAATTTTTATATCTATGCGTTAGATCATGTATATTTGGAATAATAAAAACTCTTACCTATGGTGTGTGAAATATAATCTATTATGGAATCCAATAATATGAAAATTCATACATAAATCTTGATATTGTAAACACAGATTATAAATTAATTTTTCAAACTTCTGTCTTTTACGTATGTAGAATGATGGATCCTTAACTTTCCATATACTTAAAAAGCATAAGGGTTGGGACTCATCCAAATGGACAAGTGATAACTGAGTTATTACAGATGGAGGATGGGGGGGGATTAGGAGCATTTAAATAATGTGAGAGTGTGGATTATCCTAATTGATAAGTGATAATTGAGTTAGTGTAGGAGAGCACTAGGGGAGTTGAGTAATCGTTCTATTACACAAATTTTTACAACTATTGAAACCTAGATTAAAGTGTAATGATCGATTTAGATTGAATGACATGAACTACCATTAATTTGTTCACATAGGAAATATATTATTAATTTCATTCTATTATCTCTTCTCTCAAACTCTTGAAAGAGTATATATATTTTGGGGTGTTCAAACGGTTAACCGAACGATTTTCTGAACTATCGGTTTTCCAGTTCAGGAATTTTCCTGAACTGAAACCGAAACGGTTTAAGGGGAAAACTGGTTTTTCGGTTAATCAGGAAACGGGTAACCTTTTTGAACGGTTTTCCCTTTAATTATTTTTTATTTTGATTTTTCCTAATTTAAACTGGTTTTATAGTTTATATTTATATTAAATCGGTAACCAAACCGGAAAATGTTTTTGTATTTCTTTGAAACCGAACTGGTTTTTTGGTTATCCGAAAAACGTGGTTCGGTTCGGTTCGTTTTCTGCATTTTTTTGAACACCCCTAATATATTTCGCTTTTTCAAGTGTACTGCAACTTTATAAGACTATTTATCGATACACTGAGCAGTTTTATTATTACATCTTAACTATTGTACTTTGCGATAATGGATTTAAATTATAATCCTTAATTTAAAGTGTATTTATTTAATGTCTCACAGTTCTGTTATAATTTGAGTATACATATATGCTAATGTCAATAGCCCTTTATTTTAACAAATTCTTACTTCTAAGTACTTGGATGATTGAGTTGCATCTACCATTTGTCATTACATGTATATTAATCATGCATGCGTTTGATTCAACACTTAAGGTGATTTGGAGAGCCAAAGTTCTAGCAAAGTAAGGGAGCTAGTTTTGACTGCTGTGCTAAAAAATATCAACATTATGATTTGATTCAAAAAAGAAGACCTATATTTCTTTACTCCGAGCTGGTGCTTCTTGTGCAATAAAGTCAGAGAGTGTAGACCACTTATTTTTGCACTGCCCCTCTGCCAGATATTTGTGGAACAAACTGCTGAAGGACTTTTATATAATTTGGGCAATTCCTCTTCTTGTTCTTGGTTGTTGGAGAGAATGTTCTTTGGGAGGCAGAAGAAAAGCTATTGTGTCGGGAATTGGCAGTTAGGACAATTTGGGTATATGGTTAGCAAGAAATAGGGAACTTTTTGAGGATACAAGTGGGGATGAGGTTTGGTCCAGGATAAGTAAAATTTGCGCTTCTATTTGGCTCTATTACATAATTCAAGTTTTTTTTTCTTTATCTTATATATTTCGGCAATTATTTAGTTTGTTCATATTATCAATTATGCATTTAGTTTATTTTTAGTGCAAATTGCTTAGGGTTTGGTTTAGTGTTGACGATGATGATTGGATGTGCTTTCATTTGTTGTAGTTTGAACCTTTGGGTTTTAGAGACAGCATGTCTTTTTTGTGGACAATTGTCTGTTCTTGTATACTTTTTATTAATAGAGAATACTGTTTCCTTTAAAAAATAAAAGAAAAGGAAAAACTATAAAATTATGCATGCATATATTTTAATCATCCAAAGCATTTTGCTCTTGTGCTCTTTAAGTGTGAAGTTGTGTAACAGATTAGTGCCATCGATTCTTTCACTATGCATAACAAAAAGAAATTTTAGAGCCTATTTCCTTAAAGTTGTGAATTTTACCCAATTGATACTAGATTAGATTTTACATAGGAAATGGAGAAGTATACTTGATTGGTGTGTTGTGGATATTGGTGTTGTAGATATCTGTGTATCTTTTTCAATCTTAATGCTTGACCAGCTCCGTTTGCATACCTAAACAGATATAGAGAATAGTATGCATCTTACATTATATTGTCTTGAATCAGCTGTTCTCTTGTACATTCACTGCCCTCAGTTGATGAAAAATTATTATCTCTGGTGTAGTCGACTCTAAATGAATGTTTGTAATGAATTAACTATAAACCATTTTGTATGTCTTAGAAGATAAAGACATTGTAAATCTATGTTATGTATACTATTTCCAAATTTCTCTTTTTGGAGGCTTATGCCTTCTCAAATTTCATTAAAGTAATCTATATGCTTTTTATGCTTCTGTTTATTGGGTCATTTTGTTGTTAAGGAACATTTCGGTTTTCATCACTTAACATGATATCCTTTTCATGTAGGACAATGCGGTTGAGCTCTTCAGAAGATCATGCAAGATCTTCAGTAGGTTGAGCTGGTAATTATTAGTTATTATGTTTGAAGTGATGACTTAGTGAGCTGAAATGTATGGCTTTTTAACTTCTGCTATCACACAGTTACGCCATGGGACTTTTCTGGCAGACAATCTGTATTTATGAATGACAAAAATAAGTTTCTGAAAGATGGTCAGCGGCAGTCAGATCAGGAAGTATGTTGTATATTTCTTTGATAAGATGTTGCTTATAACTTGATTTCATGATTATATTTCATTGTTTACATCTCTCATAAGGCTGAAGTTTGAAATTCACCTTTATACTGATTGGTTGAGGTGCAACTGCAAGCCAATTTCTTAAAACATTAAATTTAAAGTCCCCAAGTAGATTACTGTTTACACTTAATTAATTCATCTGTGCTATTGCATCTGATTGCACTTTATTCATAGAGTTCGCATTAACCAATCACAAGGTTAAACCCTGGTTTTGGAGCCTCGATGAGGTGTTGTTGCCACAATCAGTATGACTCACTAAAACAGATAACACCTAAATGGTTGATTTATAGATGAGTCATGATAGATTAACTGAGCACGTGTGGTGTTTTTAGGAATTTTGCCAACTATTGTTGTGTTGGCAATGCCTATATCTAAATTCTCAAGTTAAAAAACCAATTAATTGTAAAGACCTGGCCTCTTCTACAGTTGATTGGTAGTTGGGACCAAAAACGCCGGCTTTCAAATATTATGGAATCTAAAGTGCAAAACATGTCAGTCTTGAGTTGTTTGTGATCCTGTCAAAAGGAATCACTCACATTTTTTTTCTTATGAAAAAAAAAAAAAAAAAAAATATCCAGAACCATTCACTCATGAAGTTTTTAGAAAAGTTCATGATAGCAAACCCAGTGTTTCTCTCTGCAAATCCGCCACTACTCTCATTGCATGCTAATGATCTGCATCTTCAATGGATCCTCCTCCCTCCGATTCAACTCTCCCTCTCCACTCTGACGATGACCAGCGAGTCTACTTGGTTCCTTACAGGTCTCAATTCAATTCAAATTCATCAACCCTAACAAATCTAAACAAATCCTATTTTATACGCCGTCGTTTTAATTATTTCCATCACATTTCGCACTTGAATTAATGAATACAATGTCTGATTTAGATTGAGATTTGAATTGGTTTCCTTTTTAGGTGGTGGAAAGATGCTCAAGAATCAACATTTGATTCAGATGGGAAGAGAGGGATTTTGTACACAGCAACACCGGGGCCATCCTATGCAGGTCCAATGAAGATCATTAACAACATTTTTAATTCCGACCTTCTTTTCAATCTGAGGAGAGAAGAAGATTCTTCGCAAAATGGCGAAAATGGTGAAGTGGGGGTCTCCGGACGGGACTATGCATTGGTCCCTGGGGAAATGTGGTTGCAGGCACTCAAATGGTGAGTCTCTGTTGTTGATGAATAGGGCTTTTTGAATTTTATTGGGATGCGAGGAAAATTATTAGTATTATTTGGTGAGAATTGAGATCTGTGATATTAACGTGTGTCCAAATTTGTCTGTGTTGCATGCTATGTTTTTGATGGCATTGATTTTTAATGGTTTGATAAGAGTATATGTTAGATGGTATTTTACTCTATGAATGTACTTTTTAATAATTTAAGTAGCTGGTTAAAGTTCCTGGGGTGCTAGATTCTTTATGCCTTTGACAATGGAGAGACGTGACACTAAAGATTTTGTGGTTTTTATACTGTAATTAATGCTAAATTTCAATGGAATGCCAATTCTTTGAGCAAAGGACAACTTGTTAATAGATGAATTGCTGACTTAATGTGAGAGAGTTTCCATCTCCTGGAACTCACTTATCTTCATATAAATTTGGCAGTGCATAGATTATCTGATGGCATTTGAAGAGTTTTGACTGTCACCATTGAATTTTCTTCAAAATTTGCTTGATGGAGGCTTACATCCTTTGTGATCTAGGTCCTCCAAAGTCTTTTAGTCTTTAAAATGAGAGGTGCACCTTATAGTCAAACTTCTTTTGATTAGGTTGTCAGGATCTGACTTTCAGAAATTTCTAACTGGCAGTTCCACAGCTACTACACATTTTGGGAATGCTGCCCCTTCTATATCAGCTATTTACCTGTCAGCTTTGGCAGTGCAACTTTTTTGTGACATCAGTACACTGATGAGTGAAAAGTAACATCTTTGAATTGAGCAATATATCTGACCTGTCCATGTTGTAATTTTGTTTGTCTTGTTTCCTTGTTCAGTCTTTCCGAAAGACCCATGCTGTTCTGTAATTAAAAAAGATTTTCTCCTTCTGGCTGATCCTAAACATTTTTATCCAGTTAGTGGCAATAGGCATGTAACTTTTAGCCATTCAAGTAAAATGTTGTTTTGATCTTTAAAGAATCTCTTCTGTGGGATAGTTTATCTTAAGTGCGGTCATTTTATGTTAAAGAGGCGGAGGGGTAAGGGTGGAGGGTCTGTTATCGATTATTGTACTTTTATAACCAGTCTGTTGTTCTTTTGATAGATGAAAGTTTATCTGACATGTTATACGGAAGAGTAATGCTAGTCATCCCAAATCATATTCCAAAATTCAGATCCCAAATGATGTGTTACCATGTGTGGTATTGCCTTATCATTTAATACATAATTACTTTATTTACATGTCAATACCATATATGGTAACACACCATTTGGGATGTAAATTTTGGGATTTGTTTTGGTATGAGTAGTATTATTCTATATGGAATGCTAAATTTAAGAGTTTTGTGTTAGTGATGAATCAATTTAATAAATCTTTCTTATTGTTTTCCTGATTACCAGAATCAATTATGGAAGTTTCTATAATCTATTTATTGGTTTTATCTTACTATTTTACTCAGGCATAGTGATGCTAAAGTTGCAACCAAGAATGGAAAAAGCTTTTTGGCTGCACAAGATGATATGGCAGATGTCTATCCTTTGCAACTTAGGCTTTCTGTTCTGCGGGAAACAAATTTATTGGGAGTAAAAATTACCAAAAAGGTTAGTTTAGTCGATTAATTCACTCTCTCTTTTTTGATCTTTTGAAGTAAGAACCTATATAAGCTATGAATTTTGTTTTTTATGTCAGATTAATGTGATTAGAAAGTTTGTTTGTACTCATGTTGTGAATTTGAACATTGTCATACTTCTTTTTCCCTTGATGAAAGAAATATTCAGAACATCATGAATGGTATAACAAGTAGGGTAAGATTCTAAGGGCATTTAATTTCAAATACTGCTCGAAGTAAAATGTTCCTTTGATGAAATTTTCTAATAGGACCTTTCAATGAACTTAAAAATTATTTTCTAAAAGAATTCTCATTCTTTATCTTGCATCACTCTCTATTGCATACGAATAAACTTTTTGCTCTTCTTAAAGTACAGTAAGTTGTAACATAACTTGAGGTATTGAGAATATTACTCTTCCTAAATTTTGTTTAGTAATGTTGCAAGCTAAGTAAAGGCATTAAAAAAATTTTACTTTTCTTTTTCTTTTTGAATGTTTGGTTTGCAATTATGAGTATGAATAAGATAAAATTACATTGTAATTCCGAACTAAGATAATTTCGTCATATTTTCTTATGATCTCTACCTTGGTAAATATGTAGGTATGATTACGACAATAACCATCATTTTTCTCTCGTCTCACTGATCTTTGCAAAGGTCGCTTGGGCATTTTCAACGAGGTCTTTTAAGTCTATGATTGGAAGTTCAAGGATAGAATAAAGTGGCTGAAGTTTTCTAGTCCAACCGTTCAATTTAATCTTATAGATTCTGATTATGTAATTATATAATTGATGGCAAAATATAATATTTAGGATGTCGAAAACTACTTATATAAAAGACTCCAAGGACTGTAGTCTTGTGTACACATATTACCTCTTCTCTTTCTCTTCTTTCCATTTTAATTGGAATTTTCTAGTTAAAGGTATAGGTTAGACTTGTTTATTATTGAGATATTTTCCAGCCTTTAGATATTTCTTCTACTGTCTGTTCTACACCTCACCCACTGCTTGGTCCTCTTGAGCCAGCTGATGGTGTTTTTTTTGATGATCAAATAGTTGCTTTCATCAATTTTTGTCACTTTTTGGTCTTTTGGAAGAATTGATGTACAACTCATGATACTTCGCTTACTAATGATGCACTTTAACATTTTCCATCTCTTAATTTAGGATTTTAGTTATAGTTACTCTCTAGATCAAGTTCTTTACAATCGGGGAAAATGATGTTAGACATCATGGGTATATGCACATATGTCAAGGTGCATGGCTAGTTAGGTCTTTTTATTTTTTTATCTCGTGGATTGGGTATATATGCACTGTAAAAGTTTTCTTAGCACAACCCTGTTATTAGAATTTTAGAAATTAGGTTTTTATGCAATTCATATTCAAATTTCTAAAAAAAAGAAACGTGATGTAGCTAATACTGATATAATAGATTAATATTTAATAAAAAGTACAACGAAAATAGTTGTTGGAAAAAAAGGTCATTTTGGATGGTAGTTTTAAATGTCAGATAAACTAGAAAAATTTACTTTATTTTGAATTGTATTTTAAATTAAATCAAATATTAATATACTGAGCTTGTGTTAGGCATATTGGACTATCTTTTGGATTATGAAGTTGATTGATTATAAATAATTATTAAAATTTTAATAATAGGAGTGTGTCTAGGAAAGGGGGTTGAATGCATAGTTAGGGTGTTCAGAGCCCATCTTGTGTCATATTATGGTTTCCCTTGTCAAATGTAGTTTTAACGTTTACTTTTTTCTTCAAGGGTTTGTTAAATTAGGTTTGACCTTTATGTTAACTGGGTTTTTTTGTTTGAACTCAAAGACTTTGCTTATGAATGAAAATTGAATATTTTAGTAAAACTTCTCTCAATTATTCTTTAATATTTTCTCCCCTTGCTTCAATTGCCTCTCTTTTCTTTTTAGTTTTGTTCTTTTTTTGTAAGGGTTTCAATTATATTCTAATTCCACATCTTTGAGATAATAGCATAAGAGTTTTTGGTTGATGGTACCACTAACTCATTTGTAGTTGTCAGTTAGGATCTTTCACTATCCTTAGATGATTTAAATGTATGGAAAATAAAAGATTCATCATTTCGCCTACATAAAAGTGAGAGAACATTGAAGATTAATTTGTGAGTGTTTTTGTGTACAATATCAAGATGTTGTGTATGAATTTTATATTCTATGCATTAGATCATGTATATTTGGAATAATAAAAACTCTTACATATGGTGTTGGAATATATAATCTAATTTATGGAATCCAATAATATGAAAATTCATACATAACATCTTGATATTGTAAACACAGACTTATAAATTAATTTTTCAAACTTCCTGTCTTTTACGTATGTAGAATGATGGATCCTTAACTTTCCATATACTTAAAAAGCATAAGGGTTGGGACTCATCCAAATGGACAAGTGATAACTGAGTTATTACAGATGGAGGATGGGGGGGGATTAGGAGCATTTAAATAATGTGAGAGTTGGGATTATCCTAATTGATAAGTGATAATTGAGTTAGTGATAGGAGAGCACTAGGGGAGTATGAGTAATCGTTTCATATTACACAAATTTTTACAACTATTGAAACCTTAGATTAAAGTGTAATGATCGATTTAGATTGAATGACATGAACTACCATTAATTTGTTCACATAGGAAATAATATTATTAATTTTCATTCTATTACTCTCTTCTCTCAAACTCTTGAAAGAGTATATATATTTTTGGGGTGTTCATAAATGGTTAACCGAACCGATTTTCTGAACTGATCCGGTTTTCCAGTTCAGGAATTTTCCTGAACTGAAACCGAACCGGTTAAAGGGAAAACTGGTTTTTCGGTTAATCAGAAAACCGGTTAACCGTTTTTGAATTGGTTTTCCCTTTAACTTATTTTTTATTTTGATTTTTCCCTAATTTAAACTGGTTTTATAGTTTATTATTTTTATATTAAACCGGTAACCAAACCGGAAAACCGGTTTTTGTATTTCTTTGAAACGGAACTAGTTTTTTGGTTATCTGAAAGACTGGTTCGGTTTGGTTCGTTTTCTGCATTTTTTTGAACACCCCTAATATATTTCACTTTTTCAAGTGTATTGCAACTTTTATAGACTATTTTATCAATACACTGAGCAGTTTAGATTATTACATCTTAAGTATTGTACTTTGCGATAATGGATTTAAATTATAATCCTTAATTTAAAGTGTATTTATTTAATGTCTCACAAGTTCTGTTATAATTTGAGTATACATATATGCTAATGTCAATAGCCCTTTATTTTACACAAATTCTTACTTCTAAGTACTTTGGATGATTGAGATTGCATCTACCATTTGTCATTACATGTATATTAATCATGCATGCGTTTGATTCAACACTTAAGGTGATTTGGAGAGCCAAAGTTCCTAGCAAAGTAAGGGAGCTAGTTTGGACTGCTGTGCTAAAAAATATCAAACACTTATGATTTGATTCAAAAAAGTAGACCTTATATTTCTTTATCTCCGAGCTGGTGCTTCTTGTGCAATAAAGTCAGAGAGTGTAGACCACTTATTTTTGCACTGCCCCTCTGCCAGATATTTGTGGAACAAACTGCTGAAGGACTTTAATATAAGTGGGCAATTCCCTCTTCTTGTTCTTTGGTTTGTTGGAGGACATGTTCTTTGGGAGGCAGAAGAAAAGCTAGTGTGTCGGGAATTGGCAGTTAGGACAATTTTTTGGGTTATATGGTTAGCAAGAATAGGGAACTTTTTGAGGATACAAGTGGGATGAGGTTTGGTCCGTGGTAAAGTAAAATTTTGCGCTTCTATTTGGGCCTCTATTATTTCATAATTCCAAGGTGTTTCTTTTTCTTTATTAAAATAATTGGGAGCTTTAATTACCTAGCTGGGGAAGATTTTTGTGCAAATTTGCTTAGGGTTTTGGTTTTTAGTGTTGACGATTTGGAATTGGAGATGTGCTTTTCATTGTGTTGATGTTTTGAACCTTTGGGTTTTAGAGACAGCATGTCTTTTTGTGTGGACAATTTGTCTGTTCTTGTAACTTTTTATTAATAGAGAATATCTGTTTCCTTTAAAAAAATAAAAGAAAAGGAAAAACTATAAAATTACGCATGCATTTAATTTTATCATCCAAAGCATTTTGCTTGTGCTCTTTAAGTTGTGAAGAATTTGTTAAAGATTAGTGCCATTGATTTTCTCACATATGCATAACAAAAAGAATTTTAGAGCCTATTCTTAAAGTTGTGAATTTTACCCAATTGATACTAGATTAGATTTTACATAGGAAATGGAGAAAGTATACTTGATCGGTTGTGTTGTGGATATTGGTGTGTAGATATCTGTGTATCTTTTTCATCTTAATGCTTGACCAGCTCCGTTTGCAACCTAAACAGATATAGAGAATAGTAAGGGATTTCTTATCAAGATATGTCTTGAATCAGCTGTTCTCTGTAATTCACTGCCCTCAGTTGATGAAAAATTATTATCTCTGGTGTGAGTCACTCTAAATGAATGTTAATTTGTAAGAAAACTATAAACCATTTTGTATGTCTTAGAAGATAAAGACATTGTAATAATCTTATGGTGATGTTACTATTTCCAAATTTCTCTTTCTAATTGGTGGTTATGCCTTCTCAAATTTTCATTAAAGTAATCTATATGCTTTTTATGCTTCTGTTTATGGGTCTTTTGCTTGTTAAGGAACATTTCCGGTTTCATCATCTTAACATGATATCTTTTCATGTAGGACAATGCGGTTGAGCTCTTCAGAAGTCATGCAAGATCTTCGTATCGAGTCTGAGCTGGTAATTTATTTAGTTATTATTTATTTTGAAGTGATGACTTCGTGAGCTGAAATGTATGGCTTTTAACTTTGCTATCACACAGTTACGCATCTGGGACTTTTCTGGACAGACCTCTTGTATTTATGAATGACAAAAATAAGTTTCTGAAAGAGGTCAGCGGCAGTCAGATCAGGAAGTATGTTGTATATTTCTTGATAAGATGTTAGCTTATAACTTGATTTCATGATTATATTTCATTGTTTACATCTCTCATAAGGCTGAAGTTTGAAATTCACCTTTATACTGATTGGTTGAGGTACAACTGCAAGCCAATTTTAAAACATTAAATTTAAAGTCCCCAGTAGATCTACTGTTTAACACTTAATTTATATCATCTGTGCATTAGCACTGTATTGCACTTTATTCATAGAGTTGGCATTAACCAATCACAAGGTTAAACCCTGGTTTTGGACCCTCGGTAGGTGTTGTTGCCATCATCAGTATGACTCACTAAAACAGATAATTACCTAAATGGTTGATTTATAGATGAGTCATGATAGATTAACTGAGCAGTGTGGTGTTTCTAGGAATTTTGCCAACTATTGTTGTGTGGCAATGCTATATCAATTCTGAAGTTAAAAACTCCAATTTACTTGGAAGACCTGGCCTCTTCCTAGTTGATTGGTAGTGGGACCAAAATAACTACGCTTTCAAATTTTATGGAATCTAAAGTGCAAAACAGTCAGTCTTGAGTTGTCTGATTGATTTGTTTTGATCCTGTCAAAAGGAATCACTCACATTTTTTTCTTATGAGAAAAAAAAAAAAAAAAATCACACTAGAACAATTCACTCATGAAGTTTTAGAAAAGTCATGATAGCAAACCCATTTAACTGGGTTTGAGGTCGAGTTGAACCAAGATGCATGATAATAATGAGTTCCTCTCTATTTCATATGGAAGTTTCTGGGTCTGATATGACCTGTCCTGCAAATCAGATAATACTACCAACCAACAATCCACACTCACAGCAAATCACAGTTTAATGAGAGGACCCTGTTATATTAATTTTCAATAGAACAATACAGCCCTAGTAAATAGCTAATAGTCACTCCCTAGCAATATTCAATAACAACAACAAACAACTCAGCAAAGTAGTGTAATACACCAGAAAATGATAAGAACAACAGACTGACTCGAGGCCAGCCACCTCCAAAATACTGACTTCGAGGGTCAGTAACCTCCCTTCCAATTTACTTCCTAATTCTCCCCCTCCATTTCTCTTCATCGTTTATTCTGTTCTGTCACCTGTCTGTTCCAACCGAATCCCACCCCATCCCCTCATATCATGCCACCTGTTCCACAAATATTCCCTCATAACAAATCCCGACTTCCTAATATTCCCCTACTACCTACCACTACCCTTCTTGTGGTACACCAGCCTTGTTGGGTGCTCATCATTACCCTCCTCAAGGAGAGCCACCTTGTCCTCAAGGTGAAATGTAGGAAATTGGTGGTGAATAGTGTCAAAATCTTTCCATGTGTTTTCATAGGAAGGTAACCCCTTCCATTGAATCAGCACTTCCCACTGGCCATTCAGAAGTTTCCTTTTCTTGATAACTGCTTTTGGTTCGAGTTGTAATGTTAAATCCTCGTTAAGAGCTGCCGGAAGAGGCTGGCTGTTGGCAACTGGAAACATGGCTTTCTTCAGCTGTGAAATATGGAAGACATTATGAATGCGGGCTGAAGGAGGCAGTGCCAACCTGTATGCCACCGCTCCAATCCTGTCCGTGATGACAAAAGGACCATAAAACCGTGGGCTTAGTTTCTCATTATAGCGACGGGCTAAGGACCGTAATCGATACGGTTGTAACTTCAAGTATACTGAATCTCCTATCTCAAATGTCACCTCTCGACGATGGCAATCAGCATATATTTTCATGCGGTTTTGAGCCTTGAGAAGATTTGTCTTTAACTCCTCAATGATATGGTTTCGGTGCTGAAGTTGTTGGTCAACATCGGCAACTGGAGAAGTATGATCCGCATACCGTAATACTGTTGGAGGTTCACGGCCATAGAGAGCCTTAAAGGGGCACATTCCCGTGGAGCTATGATAGGTGGTATTGAACCAAAATTCTGCCCATGGCACCCATTTGGGCCACTGCTGTGGGTGGCTATTGACGAAGCACAGGAGGTAAGTCTCTAAGCAATGGTTGACCACTTCGGTTTGACCATCTGTTTGCGGATGGTAGGTTGAACTCATGTACAGCTGTGTTCCGGACTGTTTAAATAATTCAGCCCAAAAATTACTCATGAAAACCCTATCTCGATCGGATACAATAGTTCTCGAAAATCCATGCAACGTGACCACCTCTCGGGTAAACAGGTCTGCTACCGTCTTGGCTGTATATGGGTGTTTAAGAGTGACAAAATGGCTGTACTTGGTGAACCGGTCGACTACGACCAGAATAGTGTCGACCCCATGCGCTTTGGGTAGCCCCATAATAAAATCCATTGAAACATCATCCCACACTTGGTGAGGAATAGGTAAGGGTTGGAGCAAACCTGTTGGACTTAAAGCATCGTATTTATTCTGTTGACAGATGCTGCAAGCAGCTACAAATGCCTTGATGTCTTTCTTCATTCCTTCCCAAAACACCACATTTGATATTCGTTTGTATGTCCGAAAAAATCCAGAATGGCCTCCAATCGGTGAAGTATGAAATTCCTATAATAGCTGATGAATGTGAGGCCCCGATTTCGGTAAAACCAATCGGTTATGGTACATCAAATGGCGTCCTACCAATCTGAAACGAGGGTGACTGTTTGAGTCAATCAAGAGCTGTTGGATAATCTGTCGCAACTTGGCATCTTGCTGTATTGCATCCTCAAGGCTGTCAAGTCTCGAAAAACACCCCATCGAAATAGCATGATACTCAGTTGGCTAGGACATCCTGTAAAGGGCGTCTGCTGCTTTATTTTGTGGTCCCGGTTTATATTAGATGATGAATTTAGTCCTAATAGTTTGATAACCCACTTTTGCTGACTTTGACTTAGTAATTTCTGGTCGGTTAGGAAATGTAGACTCCGCTGATCTGTCCTGATAACAAAACGTCGACCGAGATAATGCTGCCATTTTTGCACAGCCAATACCACAGCCATTAATTCCCGCTCATAGGCTGACTTTAGTTTTGAATTGATAGACAAACCTTTACTGAGAAATGCAATCAGCCGCCCTTCTTGCATCAGTACTGCCCCTAATCCACTTCCCGAGGCATCTGTCTTGATAACAAACTCTTGAGTGAAATTGGGCATCCTTAGGACAGGAACGCTGGTCATGATGCTTTTTAATTCCTCGAAGGCCTGTTGAGCTGTTGGATTCCAGGCAAAAGAGTCATTTTTTAAAAGTGCAGTGAGTGGAAGAGCTATCTTACCATAATCGCGAACAAAACGGCGGTAGTAGCCTGTTAGTCCTAGAAATCCTCTGAGTGCCCTGATGTCCTTTGGTTCTGGCCATTTAGTGATGCTTTCTATCTTGGTGGGATCAACTGCTACACCCTTGGCAGACACAACATGGCCTAGATATTCCAGCTGAAGTTGCCCGAATTGACACTTCTTTTGATTTACCACCAGCTGATTCTCCAATAACACCTGCAAAATAATACTTAAGTGCTCTGCATGTTCATCCATCTCCCTACTGTAAATCAATATGTCGTCAAAAAACACCAACAAGAATTTTCTCAAATACGGCCTGAAGACATCATTCATGACTGCCTGAAACATTGCTGGTGCGGTGGTAAGGCCGAAAGGCATTATGAGAAACTCATAGTGCCCCTCGTGTGTCCGAAAAGCTGTCTTTGGTGTGTCTTCGGGTTTCACTCTGATTTGGTGATATCCGGATTTCAAATCGAGTTTCGAAAATATAGTTGCCCCATCTAACTCATCAAACAGTTCGTCGATAGCGGGGATTGGAAACTTATCCGGAACGGTCACCTTGTTAACAGCCCGATAATCTACACAGAAGTGCTACCCTCCGTCCTTCTTTTTCACTAATAAAACAGGGCTGGAAAACGGGCTGATGCTTGGTTTTATAATTCTCAAGGCCAACATCTCTTTGATAATACGCTCGATCTCATTTTTCTGATAATAAGGGTATCGGGAGGGTCTAAGGTTTGGTGGCTGTGTTCCCGGAACTAGCTGAATAGCATGGTCCTTTGACCTAGTTGGTGGTAACCCGGAGAGTGGCTCGAAGACTTGACTATAGTGTCCCAATACCTTTAACAGTCTGTCATCAATAGCCCTCATATTTTCACACTGAGTCTGCAGCTGCCCAAACTCGATCAAACAGCCTTGTCCTTCGCTCTATAATGCCTTAATCATCGCCTTGAGCGATACCATGGTCTTGCTAAGAGATGGATCCCCATACAGATAGACTACCCAGGGTCCCATTGTGAACCTCATCGTTTGTTTTCTCCAATCTGTAACAGTCTCACCCAGAGTCTCAAGCCATGCTATACCTAGGACTACATCCGCGCTACTCATCTCAAATGGAAAAAAGTTTTGCACAATTGTCACACTCGGTAACTCCAAACACACGTCCTTACATTCCCCTTCACATCTAACACTATATCCATCACCCACCCTAACACCGAAGGATTGAGTTCTGACCACTGGTATCCCTAACTGTTCAACCACTTTTGAGCTAATAAAATTGTGGGAAGCCCCACTATCAATCAACACAATCCACTCTTTACCTTGGATTCTTCCTTTGACTTTCATTGTCTGCGGTCCCTGAATCCTAACCATTGAGCTAAAGGAGAGCTCCACGTTGTCCTGTGGGTGCTCTATTTCAGCTTCGACAATTTCTCCACCCCCACTTGGATCTGGGTCATCTTCTTCATCTTCAATCAGGAGGATTTGAAACTGTTTTTGCCGCATTTATGCCCTAGCGAGTATTTTCCATCGCATCGAAAGCAGATCCCCTTCTCTCGTTTCTTCTGAATCTTGACGTCTGTCATCCGACGAAAAGGGAACTCACGTCGTTGGAAGCCTGGTCGTTCGAAAGGCCGGGAGTTCGTCGTCGATGATTCACGCGTGGAGGAATTCGTCGATGAACCCTGCAGGGAGGATTCTGGTGTTCGTCGACTGAAAGGAGAAAAAGAGTGTGAATTAGTTTTTAGGGATTCTATGGTGTTGGGAAATTTGGGATTATTTTCAGTTCGGGTCAGGTTGAAAAATCTGGGTACACTTCTAGATCCAAATGTAAACCCAGGCCCAAATGTGTGTGAGCCCCTGTTTACTCCCACTTGGGCTTCTTCGAAGGCCTGGTTCTTTTCTTCAATCCTTTGGGCCAGCTCAATAACTTGCATCAATGAATTTGGTTAGGCCAACCTCACCTTAGCCCTAATCTCTGTTTTTAACCCATTCACGAATGCAGCTTGTAGGATCTCTTCTTTCTCCCCTACCAATAGAGCTGCCACTGCCTCAAACTGACGACGGAACTCCACCACTGAGCTTGTCTGTTTCATCGCCATTAGGGACTCGTATGGGTTGAGTTCTTGGGATCCACTAAATCTCTGAAGGAGCACTAATTTAAACATAGCCCAGGAGCTTGCCGGCGTCCTGGATTCTGTCCACTGGAACCAATTGATGGCTTCTCCTTCCATGCAGACAGCTGCTGCAGCCAACCTTCCTTCTTCCAATATTCCATTGATGTTGAAGTATCTCTCTACTCTGAAGATCCATCCGTAGGGATCTTCACCTGAAAAGATGGGCATTTCCAATTTTCGCCCCCCTATTTCATTACGGTTTTGGTTACTGCTCCCAGATCCACTGGCTCCATTCCCATTTTCTTCGTGGTGAGACTGATTATTTTCTCCTGACTGTCCCTCTGCTCTCTCAACCTCTTCTTCATTCTTTCGTCTTACCCATGACTGTATCTCCACCAAACACTCCTTGATGGTACCCATTTCTACTCCCAGCTTTGTAACCTCTTTCTCCACATTATCGAGTCTAGAATCCATCCTCGTCACGACCATTACCCAGACCACACTGCTCTGATACCACTTGATAGGACCTGTCCTGCAAATCAGATAATACTACCAACCAACAATCCACACTCACATGCAAAATCACAGTTTAATGAGAGGACCCTGTTATATTAATTCTCAATAGAACAATACAGCCTCTGATAGGACCTGTCCTGCAAATCAGATAACACATACCAACCAACAATCCACACTCACACGCAGAATCACAGTTTAATGAGAGGACCCTGTATTTAATTCTCAATAGAACAATACAGCCCTATGCAATAGCTAATAGTCACCCCTAGCAATATCAATAACAAACAACAAACAACTCAGCAAAACAAACTAGTGAAGTACACCAGAAAATGATAAGCAACAGCGACTTCGAGGGCAGCACCTCCCCAAAATACTGACTTCGAGGGTCAGTACCCCTTCCATTTACTTCTCTCTTCCCCCTCCATTTCTCTCCTCTTCTTTTTATCTGTTCTGCACTGTCCGTTTCCAACCGAACCACCATCCCTCTATATCATGCCACCTGTTCCACAAATATTCCCTCACACAATCCCAACTTCCTAATATTCCCTTACTTCCTACAACATTCCTGTGGTACACCAGCCTTGTTGAGTGCTCATCATTACCCTCCCCAAAGAGAGTCACCTTGTCCTCAAGGTGAAATGTAGGAAATTGGTGGTGAATAGTGTCAAAATCTTCCCATGTGTTTTCATAGGAAGGAACCTTCCCTTGACACAGCATTCCCATTGGCCATTCGAAGTTTCCTTTTCTTGAAAATGCTTCAGGTTCGAGTTGTAACGTTAAATCCTCGTTAAGAGCTGCCGGAGAGAGGCTGGCTGTTGGCAACTGGGAACATGGCTTTTCTTCAGCTGTGAAACATGAAAGCATTATGAATGCGGGCTGAAGGAGGCAGTGCAACCTGTATGCACCGCTCCAATCCTGTCCGGTGATGACAAAAGGACACAAAACCGCGGGCTCAGTTTCTCATTATAGCGAGGGCTAAGGATCGTAATCGATCGGTTGTAACTTCAAGTATACCGAATCTCCTATCTCAAATGTCACCTCTCGACGATGGCGATCAGCATATTTCATCGCGGTTTTGAGCCTTGAGAAGATTTGTCTTTAATCTCCTGATATGTTTCGGTGCTGAAGTTGTTGGTCAACATCGGCAACTGGAGAAGTATGATCCGCATATCGTATACGTTGGAGGTTCACGGCCATAGAGAGCCTTAAAGGGGCACATTCCGTGGAGCTGATAGGTGGTATTGAACCAAAATTCTGCCCATGGCACCCATTCGGCCACTGCTGTCGGTGGCTATTGACGAGCACCGGAGGTAGTCTCTAACACGATTGACACTTCAGTTTGACCATCCGTTTGCGGATGGTAGGCTGAACTCATGTTGCAACTGTGTTCCGGACTGTTTAAATAATTCACCCCCAAATTACCATGAAAACCCTATCTCGATCGGATACAAGTTCTCGGAAATCCATGCACCCTGACACCTTAGGATAAACAGGTCTGCTACCGATCTTGGCATATATGGGTGTTTAAGAGTGACAAAATGGTTGTACTTGGTGAACCGGTAGCTATGACCAGAATAGTGGCGACCCCATGCGCTTTGGGTACGCCATAATAAAATCCATTGAAACATCATCCCACACTTGGTGAGGAATAGGTAAGGTTGGAGCAAACCTGCTGGACTAAGCATCGATTTATTCTATTGACAGATGCTGCAACAGCACACATGCCTTGATGTTTTTCTTCCTTCCCAAAACAACACATTCGATTTCGTTTGTATGTCCGAAAAATCAAAAATGGCCTCTAATCGGTGAAGTATGAAATTCTGAATCTGATGAATGTGAGGCCCGATTTTGTAAAACCAATCAGTTATGGTACATCAAATGGCGTCCTACCAATCGAAACGAGGGTGACTGTTTGGGTCAATCAAGAGCTGTTGGATAATTCGCAACTTGGCATCTTGTGTATTGCATCCTCAAGGCTGTCAGTCCCGAAAAACACCCCATCGAAATAGCATGATACTAGTTTGGCTCGAACACTGGAAAGGGCGTCTGCTGCTTTTGTGGTCCCGGTTATATTGGATGATGAAATTTAGCTCATATGTTGATATAACCCACTTTGTGACTTTCACTTAGTATTTCTGGTCGGTTAGGAAATGTAGACTCCGATGCTATCCTGATAACAAAACGTTGACCTAGGAGATAATGCCGCCATTTTTCGAGCCCTACCACAGCCATAATTGCTCATAGGCTTACTTTAGTTTTGAATTGAAGGACAACCTTTACTGAGATGCAATCGACCGCCCTTGCATCAGTACTGCCCCTAATCCACTTCCGGGCATCTGTCCGATAACAAACTCTTGGTGAAATGGGCATCCTTAGGAAGGAATGTAGTCATGATGCTTTTTAATCCTCGAAGGCCTATTGAGCTGCTGGATTCAGGCAAAAGAGTCCTTTTAAAAGTGCAGTGAGTGGAAGAGCTATCTTACCATAATCGGAACAAAACGGCGGAATAGCCTGTCAGCCCCAGAAATCCTCTGAGTGCCCTGATGTCCTTTGGTTCTGGCCATTTGTGATGCTTCTATCTTGGTGGATCCACTGCTACACCCTGGCAGACACGACATGGCCTAGATATTCCAGCTGAGTTGCCCGAATTGACACTTCTTTTATACCACCAGCTGATTCTCCAATAACACCTGCAAAATTACTTAAGTGCTCTGCGTGTTCATTCCTCGAGTCTCTATACTGATACGAACTAATACTAAAACAGACCTCATGGTCACAAGTGTAGCGGGGTGATGAATGCTGCAGATCCCAAATAATCAGTTTCTGATCCATGCTACCTGTTGCAGCCCAAGGCGCGCTGACACGTACAGAAGCCATCAAATTAGAAAAGTAATCATTTTGCAGGTAGATAAAGGTGCATTTCTGCATGATAGATTCACTAATTGATATTCAAAGCTTGTTAACTTTCATTTCATCTTCCTCTGTGTGTGTAGAAGAGACATTTAGTAATAAACTAACATACCTTGGGGCAAATGCAACACATTCAATTGAATCTGTATGAGAACCCAGAGAACTTACAACCTGTTGATGATACATACAAGCCCATTACAACCTGCTTATTGATTGAAAATAACAACCACTAAAATCCATTTAACAAAATTTTATAAGCAAACACAAAATTATGCAAATGAATTTCAATGTAGATAAAGTCCATGTTCATTCATACGCCAAAAAGATAAATTAATGGAGATGAAATTTAATTATCTTTAGGAGATAGTAAGTTGAAGACATTCAATTCACTAGGTGACCGACAATAAACCCTATGCTCTTTTTTTTTTTTTTTTTTTTTAAATCATTATTCCAAGCATACTATATGAAAAAGGTCTTGAGTTTGAAAGTAAATAATCAACTTGTATGAAGCACAGTTTGAAACTTAAGTCTTTTAGGCACCCACTCCATGATACTAACACTAATCTAACAATTTGAACACCTACAAAATAACAATAATAATATAAATAATAATAATAACACAACTGAACTGTGGAGCATAAAATTACAAACCTTTCCAGTTGTAATGTTGACCAAATGGACAAAACTATCCTTTGAACCAGTAAGAACAAGGGTTGAATCAGGGCTTATGGTCAAGCATGTCAACCCCTCGGTATGATATGGATGACCTGTAGAGAGTAAAATTCAAAAAAATAAAAATAAAAATTAAATCAATAAAAATGAGTTACTATTAAAAAGCAAAGAATATGTCCAATAGAAACTACTCATCCATCCATCACTTTTTTTTAGTACAGAACAACATTAAGCAAGATGGACTTGGAACACTGTAGATGTGATCGAATTGAGCTAATAGAAGTGACATGCATTGCCTCTACCTGCTATTTCCCACATAAAATGTCAAACTGAAGTACAAATTAATACCTTTTATGACTTGATTTTCCCCACTTTTTGGATCCCATACCCTCAAAGTCGCATCATCAGAACCAGTACAGATTTTTTTACCTTAAGCAACCAACAGAAGGTAAGCATATAGCTATAAACTAAATTATTAAAGCCATAATTAACTAGAGCCTTAAAAAAGAGGGAAAAAAAAAGGATTTAAAGTTTGTACCATCAGGGGTGAAATCACCACAAGTCACGCTACTACCATGACCTGAAAACATATTAAGATAGGCACCTCTATCCGCATTCCACATCCAAATAGTTGAATCCTCTGAACCAGCCAATAATACATGTCCTCTCGGATGCCATCTAACCCACTGAGAAGTAATATATTTAATGCTTAATTTCCAACAAAGGGAATGGCACTATCAGTCAAAACCTGAATAAATATACCTCAATGCCCCCTCCAGGTCCATCAAGTGCACATTTGAGTTCTCCAGACAATGTGTCCCAGATCTGAACAATTCCATCAAAGCCTCCTGAAGCAAGCAACTGCCCATCTGTACTAAAAGCCAAACTAGACACGGAATCCTTATGACCTGCATAGAAGTTAACAAAGAGGAACAAATAAAAAAAAGTGATGACGAAAAAAGTAAAACACGTGCATGTGTTATCATTTTACCAACTAATAAAAGAAAGAAGATTTGGTTTCAGTCACAAATCTCCAGAGCCAACAACAAATAACTTAGAAGAGAAAACAGTGCAACCATTCTGTACTGTTGTTGTTACATCTTTATCTACCTTTTATCTCAGAAACCCAATCTCCTCGATTAATTCTCCAAAGAAACCCTTTGTCATCTCCACCTCCAGTCGCCACTAGTGAAGCATCCATTGGGCTGCATGCAACCACATAAACTTCACCTACAAAGAAAAAGGGAAGGAAAATACTGCATAACTAAATTTTCTCACTCATAATACAAGAAATAGCATATATTATGACAAAACAATCTGTCAGTTCTGAAGCTACTTTGAACTCCATTATCACAATGGAAAACAAGACTTCCAAAGAGAAAGGAAAGCTCAAGATTAATATTTACAATTATTCAAACTAAATCAAAATTCTCACTGTTCAGTAAATATGATCAACCAAATCTAATGAACATGAAAAACCTTGTCAATCAGTGTACATATTAGCTTTATATTAAGTGAAATAGCCAACTGCATGTAACAAGTTACCGAAATAAAATGAGAATTCAGAATCAATTGAAAATTAAAACACACACAATTAAAAGGAAAATGAAGCATCTTTACCAGTATGACCCGTGAATATGTGCGTCGAATCATCAGGTTGATCTGGAAACACCAAATATACATTAAAGAATAAAGGAATTGAGTATTCTCAATTAGTATTAAAGATTAAAAAAAAAAAAATCAGTCCCCAAAGACAAGCACCTTTCTAAGCTGGCAAATGTTAATACAAGAGTAAATTTCATACCTGCATTTTCAACATCAGAATCATTTTCATCGTCATCCACATCAGGAAGCTCTGCACACATCAACTGAGAATTATAAGTATCAGTATGTATAAAGAATGTAAAAGTTGAAGGGAAGAGAGCAAAAGTACCTTCATCATCAACTGCAACTTCGTGTATGATGTCAGATTCATCAAGGAAAACCTCGCCTTGATCGTCTTCATCATGGTCTGGATTGCTCATCTTCTTTCTCTTTAAAAGTGCTTTTCCTAATGAATGAAGAAAAAGATTTCCCAAGCCTTCAGTTTCACAAAGAAGTAGACAATGAACCAAAAGAGGCAGATAAATAAAAGCAAAATAACAATTAAAATTAGTAATAAAGACGACACTTGTTTTCTTTTTTTTTTTTTTAAAAGAATAATAATCACCCAAAACTTGAATCCAAAAAATCATCCAAAACTACAACGAAAGGCACATCAAACTCATTTTAATGGCAACTAGCACCGCTAGAAACTAAGAAAACAAAATTACTACACCCACAAAGCTTTTTCTTTATAAACAACAATGAAACCAACCCCAGGTGAATATTTGATCATTACCAACTATCACAAACTATCCTAACAATTGTTGATCACTTATTATCCTAATTAAGTCATTTCATCGAACACTTCACGTAAAAAAAAAAAAATTGTGGAACCCAGAAACTAATCCATTTTGAGAAAATTAAAAAAAACTTACAGTGGGTTGAGGTAAGAAAAAAAACGAATCTTTTAGGTGCGTTCTTGTGAATACGGAGGTGTGATCGTCTATGAGTTCTGGCTTCCGAGCCAATTCAAATACAGTGAGAAGCTTTTGGCTTTGCGGCCGCCGCTCAAACGACAATACGTGTTGAATATACTAACTCAGAATTCGGGTTCAACAACCCGATTTGACCCGGGTTCTACAACAACTAAATATTTTGCGTTTGGTGTAGTATTTTGGATAGGATTTTGAAGATAATATTGGATTGTTGGATAGGGGAGTATTACAAGGTAAATTTGAAAAATTTATGAAAAAGCCCATAGGTTTACTAATTTAATTAAATACCCTATTATATAAAATGACAAAAACACCCCCACCACCTGCAGTGTCAGATTCCGGCCGCCACCGCCGGAATCTGGCCGGAAAATTTCGTTACGGCACAGACCGATCGAATCTGTGCCGTAACGCATCATTATGGCCTTTTCCGGCCAGATCCACCACGGATCTGGCCGGAAAAGGCCAGATCTAAGGGCATGTTATGGCCGTCGACGGCTGGAAAGGCCAAAACGACGGCCATCTTTGGCCGTCAGCGAAGGCCAAAGATGTGGCCGTCGTTTTCGGTCAACGACGGCCAAGATTTGGACGTCGTTGACCGTCAACGACGGCCATTTCTTTGGCCGTCGCTGACGGCCAGATCCGTGGTGGATCTTGCCGGAAAAGGCCAGATCGGTGTAATTTCGGCCATTTATGGTCGGAATTTAGGCCGTTGTACAGATTCCGGCTATCACCGACGGTGGTTGCCGGAATCTGACAAATTGGGTTGATGGGGGGTTTTTTGTTAATTTTTAAAAAAAAAATTCAGGGGGCATTTAGTGAAATTAATAACCTTATGAGGTCTAAAAGTAATTAAAAAAAATAGGGTAATATTTCTGGAATAGTGTGCCAAACATTATTTGGAGAATAGGATTGGGAATATGGATAAAAACAGGGAGCCAAACGCATACTTAGATTTCTTTTTTTTTTGGACCAGAGAGTCCATGTACTAAAGTTTGTTATATTACACAAATGTTTGACTAAACTACCCTTATACTCTTCCTTCTCTCACGGTTTGTTTAAATAAAAATTATATTTTCTAAAAACAGAAAAACGAAATTAACTTTGGAATACATATTTAAGTCACACATAAGATTAGGGGTGTTGAAAAGAACATGTTGGAACTAGAATCGACGGGTACTCGAAGTTTGGTTCTAATTTCTATCCAGAACTGACTGTCAACGGATAAATTCCAGTTCTAAACTTTTGAAATCGTTACTATGCTGTTCCAGTTTCAGTTCCTATAATTAAGAACCGGAACTAAAACCAGGAACCAAGAACCGAGACTAATATAAAATAAAATTAAAGATTATGAGGGTTAATAAATACTTTTGTAGAAAAAGTAACATGAATATATTTATATTTATATTTCATAACATTTAAAGTAAGTTGGTTTGACTTTTGAGAATCTATCTTTACAAAGTAATGGAGTTTGTAATTTTGAATTTATAATTTGTAATTTTATTTTTGTTAACAAGTGCGAAGTGGGGGAGTATTTATAAGTTTTTTAGGGTTTTTTTGCCATTTTAAAAATTTTTGGGGGGTCCTTGTAATTTTATAGGGTATCCAGAATCGGAACCAGAATCATTGTTATAGGTTCTGGTTCTAGATATCTAGGAACCGAAACCGTCGATTTCACTTCTGATTCTAAATTTAAGAAATCATTGGTTCTGGTTCCAATTCCTTCAAAAAATACAAGGTACCGGACCGAACACCCCTACCACATAAGATTGCATTTCTTCAACTCAGTCCACGTGTCATTCCGTTATCTCTCAAAATATAAGTGGTTTATCCTTCCCCAATCTTTCCACATTCAAGATAATCCTTTTCATCCCCACCCTCCATTCCTCTCCTTTGTTTCAGTCTCCACCCTCCTTTTCCCTCTTAACCCAATCCAATCCTCTTTCACCACTCACTCGTTCTCTCACAAACACTAACACAAACACAGAGAGAGCTTCAAACTCTCCATCAATGGCGTCTCTCCAGCAAACCCCAACGGCTCTCTCCCTCCAATCCAATCTCCTCTCCCCCTCCCTCCGCCTCCCCAAAAACCCATTCATTCTCAAACTCTCCGCCCCGCGCCGTAATTTCACCGGCGTCAAAATGTCCGCCACCGTTGCCGGAAGCTACGCCGCCGCCCTCGCCGACGTGGCCAAATCCAACAACACTCTCGACTCCACCAGCGCCGACATTGAAAAGATCGAGAAATTTTTCGCCGACAAATCGGTCTACGACTTCTTCGCCAACCCCACCATCGACCCGGAAAAGAAACGACAAGTCATCGACGAAATCTCCAAGTCCTCCGCGCTGCAGCCGCACACGGCGAACTTCTTGAACATTTTGATCGACGCCAAGAGAGTCGACGCGATCAAGGACATAGTGAAGGAGTTCGAGAAGGTGTACAACAGCCTAACGGATACCGAATCGGCGGTGGTGAGCTCGGTGGTGAAGTTGGAGTCGGAGCACTTGGCGCAGATCGCGAAGCAGGTGCAGAAGCTGACCGGGGCAAAGAATGTGAGGATAAAGACGGTGATTGAGCCGAGTTTGGTGGCTGGTTTCACAATAAGGTACGGGAACGCTGGGTCGAAGCTGATTGATATGAGTGTGAAGAAGCAGCTGGAGGAGATCGCGGCGGAGCTCGATTTAGGAGATATTCAACTTGCTGTATGAGAAATTTGATGAAATTTATGAAGCTAAATTTGTATCACTTTTTTTTAAGATATAATGTGATTTTTTTTTTTTTTTAAAATTATGAGAATTATATCGTAATTCATGGAGAGAGCTTGGGATAAAATCTCTTGTTCTTGCTTTACTTTGTAATTTAATGTAAAAGATTTTGAGGAGAAATTTTAAATGAATTGAAAATTGTGATTGCCCTTTCCCTACCTAGCAAAATGAAATATCTCTGGAGAATTGTTTAACCAAACAATTAAACATATAGAATTGTTTAGCCAAACACACTAAACAAACAAAGTCTATTACACATTGACGACGTTAGAAGCCGCCCTTGATTCTGTAATCTCCTTCTCCGTTGGCACTTGGCTTAATGGCACAACAAGCTGAGCATCATCAATTTCATCTTCTACAATTAACAAAATATAAGTTAACTATCGCGATATATTAACAAACTAAAATATTAAAACATGTGAAGTATAAGTTAAAATGTTACCTTTAACTTCATATCCAGAAATCCATGTCCTGGTGCATATCAAAGACTCTGCATTCTCCGGTAAAAGTGAACTTCGATATTTACTGAGCACTTTGCTACCAACACTGAAACTGGACTCCGAAGCAACAGTTATTATTGGCATACTCATCACATCACGAGCCATCATGGAAAGTATCGGGTATCGATCACTATTTTACTTCCAATGGTCCAGGATATCCAGATTGCAAAATTTGATACGATCAAACCTTGCCTCTCCCAAATAAATATCTAATTCGGATTTCTTAGTAGCACTAAAGTCACTCTTGTAGTAGTCAAATTCCTGCACCATTTAAATATTAAAATTTAATAAAGCAAAATTACAAAATAAACAAAACCTTATTAATCACAAGAACATAAAAATATTTAGGGAGTAGTGACTTACACAAATATCATCTCCAAGGATATTAGGACTACTAGTCTGTAACAAAGGATCGCCGGGAACCTCATTGTAACTTAGACCCTCATAAGCAGCAAAAAGCTTGACCAACTCCTGCTTGACCAACTCCAACTTTCTTGATACAACTATTGGGCTATCAACTTTTTTGTAACAAAATTCAACAAACTCAAACTGGAAACGTGGGTCCAGAAATGCTGCAATTGCTAACACAACGCTATAAGAATCCCAATATTTGTCAAACTTTACTTTCATTTGACTTGCCATGGTACTAACAACTTCATCCTCATTTTCCATCTCTTTGTATAAACGCACTTGAACTCTTCACACATTTCTGAGGTACAGGTTTGCTGTGGGGTATTGGGAACCCGAAAAAAAAGTAGTGATGTCATAAAATGGTTGCAAGAACTTGCAAATCCTCACCCCATATCCCATTCTTCATCTGAAGGACAACTTTTAAAATTGGGATCTATCAGTGACAAATGAACAAACACACGACGGTATATTAACGCACTTTCAAGCATTAAATAAGCGGAATTCCCATGAGCTTATCACACCAAATTTTTTAACAAGTTCTCTAAACTTGATTCTTTTAGCCTCACTTCCTTTAACATATTTCACACTTTCACAAATCTTATTTAAAGTCATGCTACTAACCTTTAACCCTTCTTGGACTATAAGATTCAAGATATATGCACAATATCGCACATGCAAAAAAGAACCACCACATAATAAAGCAATTTGCACACAAAGTTGACTCCTTAAAATTTCTTCCATTTTATCATTATTACTTGCATTGTCTAATGTAAGTAAGAGAGAAGACTTTCTTTTCAATCCCCCAATCTTTTAAGAAATCATACACTATTTTTGATAAAAGAGCCCCTGAGTGTAGAGGAGGAATACGACAAAAATTAAGAATTCTACTTTGTAACTCCTAATTTTCATCAACATAGTGAGCCGTTAAAGAAATATACCCATCAGTAGTACAAGAACTTCAAATATCAGAAGTCAAACATATTCTACCTAGAACCCTTTCTAAAGCAAGCTTAATCTTTTCCTTCTCCCTATAATATATCTTTAAGCAATCCACCTTAGCGGTGTTTCTAGTATAAGGCTTAACTTCATGATTCAAATACATGTAGACATCCCTAATTCCTTCATACTCCACTATTGAATATGAGTAATTATGTTTTATGATTCCTATTACCATCTTCTCACGATAAATTTCTAGAGAAATCCTCAAATGTCTCAATTTAGTATCACAATCCATCATCATTTGATCTATACTACTAATGGTATGTTTAGGACAACCTTCCATATGGCACCTTAAATTCTTAGTCCCATGAGTGTAACTACCATATGCATAAGACTTACTACAAATCAAACACCTTGCCCTCACATTCCCATTGTCTTCCATATATATTGTAAATTGACCCCAAACATCTGAAAC